CTCCGACCCTTTCGTTATTTTTTTTTCTCATTTCATTTTAGAGTAATTTTTTATATGAATTTCAAGCTAGAAAACTCAATTTGCTGTCATTTTAGTTACAGTTCAGGCTGAAAATTAATTTAATATCACTGCTTGCTACTGCAAATGCTAATCATTTATGCCTTTGTAAAGAGGACGTAATCATGACAGTCATAGTCTTTATTATTAATTTTTTTTTTCTCTTTTGTAAGTATACCTCTCGAAATGGAAGGACGCTATGATAGAGACAGAGGAGAGGATGAAAAAAAATATTTTATTAAAAAAAATCTAGATTCTATTGCTGATATAAGCAGCAGCAGTAAGAGCGAATAAAAAATGTTAAAGGGAAATATCATTCGACTGCATGAGATTGCATTATATGAATGGATAGTGTATTACATCACGTCGTACTAAATTACTGCCTGATGATAGTCGCTTGTAATGCGATTTATCTGCGATGAATGGCAAAATTACTGTGCAATTGATATCAGTTGAGCATTTTTTGCATCTCCTTTGTTTTGCTTTTTTTATTTTTTGTTATTTTTGATGCCCTTTAGGAGAGCATCACATGTGCAGGAACAAAAACAAAAACAAATTTCAATATGCATGAAAAACGGTAAAATTAGATGTGCTCACAGTTCATTTCTCGTATCATATTCAATTGCTTGCTATTGACCTCCCAATGTTACTGTCGTTGTGCATTTGCATCTTATCATTATTTATGTAAATATGCTCTCTGCTGTTCATAATATTTACATCCATAATGATGATTTCTTTTGAACATTCCATAAATATTTTCTCATTATTTTACTTATTTTTTGCCGCTCAATCTCTCACATTCTACTTGGAAATGAACTTTTATTATCTATGGCATTTGTTGAGCTTACAAACAAACTGAGATTTAATTATAATAATGGAATTTTCATATTAATTTTTTACACTGGTTTGTTTTCTGTAAATATGAGAGTTGATTGGCAACAGATCAGTATGTTGTATGAAGCTTTGAGTAGTTCAACTATTAATTTTAGTTTTTATGAAAAGAAACCTTCGTTTGGTGAGATTTGAACTCGGGATCTGTGCACAACCTTAGAATCCTTAAGTTCATGACCAGTGCACCACTAAGGCATCAACAATTGCTTCAAAATATAAACAAAAACTCTTCTAAATCCTCAATAAATTCCCAATAAAATCAGAAGCATTAACCTTGCTTACTCAATTAATCAGTGCCTCTCATAACCAAGTCATCTACCTCTACCAACAATTAATAATAACTTTAATCTTTCTCCTCCCTTTTTCTTATTTATTTCAATGTCAACAAAACTAAATAATGCAATTTGCAGCTCTTGTCATAAAAGACAGCAATGAAAAATATATTTGACACACACAAAGTTGAGCGCATCAGTTATCTTTTTAGATTAGAAGCAATTGTTATTAAAACTGAAGCTCGTGAAACACGAAACGTGTCAGTTAAATGACTTGGAATGCAAAAAATGTTGAAATGAATTATCAGACATGATTTAATGAACTTCCTGGAACACTTTTTCTGATTATGGAATTTTTGGAATCGAGATTTGATTTGGGTTTGTGGAAATTGGGATAAGAGATTCGGAGAATATTTTGATACTGTGTCGAGTTAAACGAGAGTTGTTGGCAATTCTGTAAAGTTCTTGGAATGCTTTCATTGTCACAGGTCGGTCTTAGATGAGACTGATACATGAATGTCTCTACAAGGTGTCATTTATTAGTGATGATTTTGAGCAAATGAGATTTTATGATAGTTTAGATCCCTTCCTTGCTTCTCATCTCTAAATATCAAGTAATAAGTGATTCAACTCCCAACATGATCAGTCAAGTTTAAGCATTACTTCCTCCCAGATATCTAAACAAAAATCTTCTAGCACAGATGATGAAATTCCCAAATAAATACTTCAAATTCTTCCTCGTAAATCAAATTAAATCAACAAATCTATCAAAAAAACATATTACAATAGTAATATAGCAGCTAAAAAAATGTTTAGCAGGAAAAGCACTTCAACAGAACTGGAAATAATATAAATTAAATAAAATTTTTTCTGCTTATAATCTAACAAACACATAACCAGGACACCCCACTGACTCATTGTTGAAATAAAAGAATTTTCAGTACTAAAAGGGCACAAAACGAAGAAAAAGTAACGCGATGAACGACAAATAATAATAACAGCCGTAAAAAGGGGTAAAAATAAAAAATGAATTTAAGTTTTACTTTCGATAGGGGTCGTCAACCTTCTACGTAACAAGTTTAGGGGAGGGTCTGATAAATTTTCATAAGACAAAGAGCGAGGGGTGTCCAAAAAAGTCACTATTAGCGTTACGTAACAAGTAAACAGCACCATTCCACGTTTTTGATATCATGAGCTTTTATTAGCTCATTCATATCGTTGCTTTAGAAGCAAAAAGGAACGGTAAATTTGCACATTATGCCATTCACTAACTTGAACACACACACACACACCACAACTACAAAAAAAATGGACACGCAATTGCCCACTTGGAATTTTTATTTTGTTGTTGTTCTGCGCGAATGATAGACATTGAAAGGGGTTGTTTACTATTCAGGAATGTCTTTAAATGGCCCTTTTTATTTCTATTATGTCGAAAATAAATGAATGAATGAGAAGCAGATGAAAATTTACTCTTTTTATTTTTGCTTCGTTGTGTAATAATTTCATGGAATTAATGAGTTTTTATTAATTATGAGCTCTGTAGTCAAAAAAAAAACTGAGTATTATTATTGACGGACCTCGACGAGTTAATGAGGTCGACATTTAGAAATTGTATCACATTAAATGATGAGGAATTCCAGGAATTTTCTCATAAATTTTCGAGAGTTACTGCTGTTGCTATTTTAGCCAGTTTGAATATTAATGTAGAAAAAAAAAAACATTTTTATGATGAAAGAGCTATAATAGTGGCAGTTGTGCGTAATTCCATTCCTTTTGTTGTATATTTAATGATTGATTGAAAATTCTATATGAGTCAATACCACCTGGCCTTATGTTGCTTGCTCACATATCATAAATGTGTCCCTTATGTTTATATGCACTCCGTTTATGCCTGAACATAAAGACATCCATAGCAACATCATCATATGATATCGATGATGATGTTAAATGCCAATTTCATATAAGATAAGTGAAAAAAATACTTCATTCATAAAAAAGACTGCTACTGCATGCCATGATATGCACATGATAATTTTTATGTTCCTCATCATAAACACACAGGTGAAATGCGAGAAAAGAGAGCAACTCACATGCATATGTGCAATTAAGTTGAGGTGATTGATACACTTGCAATTTAATAATATAAAGTGTGTGTCTATATGCTGCAAAACAACAGCAGTCACCGCATGAAAGTTTAATTAAGTCAACTCGACACTTTAATTTGCGATAAGTGCCCTGGAGCAGCCAAAATGTTCGCATATACCATACCGTATATGCATATACGATTGGGATTAAGTGTGCTAATTGACTTTTAATTTGTGCAATATAAAAATGTTTATTTTATGAAGCTTCTGCAACATGCATTTTTACGCGCTTTTGATGTTTCCTCTTCATACTTCTCTATCTCTTCATTTATGTATCTGCTGAACGAGAATGATGTGCTTTCACATCATATTCTATGCGATATACAAACGATAAAGAAAACATCGCCTCAAGGGTGGGATGAACATGCTCAATATACTCTTCATTTTTCACATAGCTTCAAACGTTAATTGAAATCAAAGCCGCCCTTTGTGTAAAGCAGTACAAAAAAATATTTTTTTTTTTTTTGTTGCAGTTGAAACAAAAAATCCCTCGCGGAAATTTCCCTTTGATCTCGCTATAAATATAAAAAAAAAAATTGAATTCTTCAATTTTCTCTGCTTTTGTTTCATTATGAATCTTTCTCTCATTCCTGCTTGCCTCGACGCTGTCTGTGTACAATTGTTATGCATGTTTGATGCTTTTATTTATTTTATTATTGACGTAAAAATGTACAAAAAAAGGCACTTTTTAATTGAAAATCATAATATTATTTTCATATTCATCTGAAAAGGTTCTGATAAATGTTATGTTATTGGCCAGCATGTTTGGTTGTATTGCTTTCATTCTTCATTGCCCTGCAAGCATCACGATTGATGTTCATTGATTAATAAAGGAAATATTTATGGACAAAAGATGAGATCTGCTGGATGTTGGGAGGAAAAGTTGATGAACTTTGGGATTTGGTTGTTGACGTTAAAAGTTATTTTTTGAAGTTTCCCGCGCTTTTTCTGAGGATTGTTTACAAAATCGTATTTACGAAAATTTCTATTTTCTAGACTAGTTTGTTGATATAATTTGATGTTATCAGCTTTGCTCACAATTTTATAGTAGTTTGAACATGCTTAAACAACTGATAAGCATAATATTATGACAAAACTTTATATTTAAAGTCGTCAGGTGAAGATTGTAAACAAATATTTTTCAAAAATGATAATTTTAGATATTAAATCAATTCAAAATTCTCAGAAACAATTCAGAACGTTACAAAAGTCCTCTTAAATCAACAAAGTCACATTAAAATGTCAAGAACAAACCATAAAAACTCTTGAAATCCAAATGATTGTCCAATTCAATTTAACTTTTATGTTTCCATCATTACATTCAGACGAATTAGAGATGTGGAATAATCTGCTACAGTCGAGGATACTTATAGCAATAAAATATTCAGAAAAAAATATCCATTGATAATGTTACGCGACGAAGTGGAATCTATTGATTTGTAATCAATTTAAATTCATTGATGTTCACTTTCTTTCTTGTCTACAATTCACTGACTCTTCTCGAGTCTCAACATCTCAATGAACATAAAGCATATTGATTCTTTTTTATTTTATGCTCAAATATTATTAAATTATTTCATTTGAATTGAAATTTAAATTAAATTTTGTTCTCTTTCCTTTAATTTATTTGCAGACGGTGGACTAGGAGCCGGAACAATAACTTCGAGGTGGCCCCCGGTAGCTGCTGGCCCTACACTCGGGCCAGCAGACACAAATGGAACAGGAGTGGACGGAAAGCATCTTGATGTCGGCGATATGAGTGATGTTAGTGATGTGAGTATTAAAAAACAGTGTGTCTGACTGAGAATCAGGTCTAATGAAATGTGATTCTGTGCTACAGGATGAAAAAGATATGTCATCAGCTGACGCCGAAGGCGTTTGGAGTCCTGACATTGAGCAAAGTTTCCAAGAGGCTCTCGCCATATATCCACCATGCGGTAGACGAAAAATTATTTTATCAGAAGAAGGAAAGATGTATGGTAAGTAATAGAAAAACAAATAAAAAAAATTAAAAAAAAAATAAATCCATAGCATTTCTCAAAATGGATAAATTACAATTTTATTAAATCAAAATTCAATCAACCGCACCATCAAATAGACATGAACATTTCATTTTCCCACATCAAAGTGAATTGAGAATTAAATTAATTAAAGTGCTCCCATGTTCATCATTAATTTTATTATTGATAATTTTACATTCAGTCGTAGACCAGCCAGCAGCAGCTGTCTGTGTATGGGTATAAAAGAATTATGACAAGGCAAAGGGGTTAATAGTATACACGCATATAATAATATTCGATATAGATTGATAATTGTCATTAAAAGAGAAGAAAAACTTTTATTTGATTTATCGGACAGAACAGAACAGAACAAGAATAGGAAGAAGAAAATTTTGATTTAATTAGACTCTATTAAAAATGCATCATCAACATCATCATCGTGTGGTAGCTGAAAAATATCGAGTAGTTCATGCTATTATCGGTTCAGATTATTATGACTATATGCTGATGCACATTATTACTACCAATTTTAAGTTTCTCATGACTCATATTGATGTTTATCTCGAGGCAATGTTCGATACACAATTTTAATAGTTTCATTGCTGCTACTACTGCTGCTCTTCTCACACAGCAAGCAGATGAAGTGAAAATTAATTTATTTTTTTGTACAGAAGCAAGTTGTTTATGAATTTCATGCAATTATGGATTATTCACGCCTTTTCATAGATGCTAAAAATAGCAATTTAAAATGATATGATATCAATAGTTCTTTGAAGCTATAAACATCCCACAGCACACAATAAGGCACAATTCTCGTCATGAATATAATTTTTGAAGTAAGAGGAAGAGAAGCGGTCGTATATGTAGATTTTAAATGAAATTTTATGGATCTATGAGCAAATTATTCGTGCTACACATACAGACATTTCGGAATGATTGGCATAATAGATAGTTGTTAAGAATAGATAGATATGTGATGTTTATTTATAACCAAATAAATGTGAAAAGGTTGAAGCCGCGAGCCACATCACCATAGAAGGTTAATTAAATTTAATTGAACCTCAACAACTGTTTAGAGAACACACTGCTGATGCTGCTTTATTGTCATTAGAAATTCACTCACAATTTTTCGACAATTCATATGAAAATTTGATATTGACCTTTCCAAATTGATGTTCACTTAATGCTCATCAATCAATGTAGTTAATTGATATTAAGTGCAACTATAATTTTACATAAAAAGTGGAATTAATAGTCAGGTACACTTGAAATAATTTCAGTAATTAATATTTAGTTGATATTTGATTTGTTAGAACTAAAATTAATTCATTTATTAGCGATTGACACTTTTGAGTAATTTAGTCGACTCATGCGATGTCAAAGAGAAATCTCATAGCAATTATCAACTCTGGAGCTGATCATAGGAGATGTTTTGCGTGTCATAGTGAGAATTGGATAATTAGGCTTCAATTATGTCACAGAAAAGTCACTCATACACATGTTATACGTCTCATTTATAATGTACTTAATGGAAACTTGTCTTCATGCTTTGTTTATTTCTAATTCTTGAAAATGAAAAGATTTATTCTACCTTTCCGTGACAATTAAGTTCCTCTATATTCTGGTCATTGGCACTAATCGCTCTTTTTCAGGTGCTTTCTTTCATTTATGAATTAAAATGGAAAAATTATTGTAATTAAGTACTGAAATTTGTTTCTTTTCCATGCTCAATTGTTAATACTATTATTATTATTATTATTGCTGCTGTTGATGTTGTTGTTGTTTTTACATTTCTTCCTCTAATGACGGGCTGTTTTGTGATATTATTATTTTTCGTTCTTATTTACGCAATGTTACGTATATTAATGACGGAAGAAGGCATTTTTATTATGTGCCTCTGCACCATTGTGTTGAAGTTTAATGGAAATGCCACAAATAGATCGAATTCCTGAAATTTTCTTCTTTCCTTTCACCTCCCTCGTAGCAAAAAAACAGTAAATTTATATTCCTTTGTGCATTTATTTATATCTAAAAATATGGAAATTTGAATTTCAACACAAAAAAACAGCCGCAAGTCATTTTAACCGTCATGACATCAGACTAATTGAAATAGAAAAATGAAATAAAATTATTATTAATGCCTCGTTGTGAGCTGGGAGATATTTGAGAGTTGATTGTTGAGCAAATTGCTACTATATTAAATTCAAATGCAAAAGTTACTAAACGCACTCAGGATGCGAAAATTTCTGAACGCACTAGTGACGCAAAAATTACTAAATGTACTTTTGATGCAAAATTTTTCCTAAAAAGAAATCAATTGGCACACACAATACTGAAACTCGTAGGTGGAGAAAATTTTAAATGCAATTTTATCCCCAATTCAACTTTTTTGGTGCCATTCCAAGGCAGAAATCAAAATTAAACGAGCGAAATAAGATGAATGTATGAAAAAAATTTGCATTTCAATTTGCGCAGTGTGAAATGTCATGCATCTTTTATATGCACACGAATAAGTCATGTGTGCGTGTTCGAATAACGAGATAATTCTGTTTACGTTTTATTATATTTACAAAAATACTTTTTTGATGAGTAAATCAATGCATTAAATGCATGCTAAATTGCTCCACTACTCAAATCACTTACGTCAATTGGAATTTACATTTTACTCTGTTCTTCTTCTTGTTTGCATTTTTTACACACTTTTCAAGCGGTTGTTGCTGTTTTCTAGTTACTAAATTGCAAAGATTCGTGTTGAATTTTTTAAAATGCATGAAAAAAAATAATTAAAAGAAAAATCAGATTGAGTTGTCAGTCTCAGAGAATTGTGTCTGTAAATTAATTAATAACACTTAAAGTAGCTAAACATTTTGAATGAAAATTAAATTATTCTTACTCATACTTTGTAATTGCTCTACATTTCCAACTCAAGCACAAAAGGACTTTGAGATCTTTAGGTTTCATTATTGACAATGTCAAATTAATTACAATATTTAAGCTGATTAAGTTATTGAAATGTTTGTTATCCTTAACGTATTATGACACTTTGGTTGGAAACAAAGAGGGAATTTGTTGATGGAAGTTTACGTGGAATTTATTTATAAAAAGTTTAATGTAATTATGACTTTTGTGACAGTAATTTAAAGGTGTTATGACATGCGAAAGTTACTGAACGTACTCAAGATACAAAATTACTGAATGAACTAGAAATACAGGTTGCACTTAACGCACTTGAGATGTAGAATTTATTAAATGCACTCGAGATGCAAAATTTACTAAACGCACTAGAGATGCAGAATTTACTAAACACACTCGAGATGCAGAAATTTACTGAGCACACTTTTGATGCAAAAGTTACTGAACGCATTAAAGATGCAAAAATTACTGAACATATCTTAACAGAAGGCCTTTAGGCTAAGTTTTAATGCAGAAAATTATGATCTGATTAAAATACTTTTTTCAAAACTCAACTCAATCTTAAAAAAAATCAAAAGAAATAAATTCAAATCTGTTGAATGCTTAATAAAATTCAACCAATTATCTCAACGTAAAATGTTCATATTCTTTTAAAATTTATTATTCTCACGTCACACGAAATATAAACATCAAAGCCAACATCAAAAATTGCTTTCTTTTAAGTAATTGTGTTGATTTAGTAAATTTCAAAATTCTTTTTGTCTTTTAATTCATTGACGACAAGCAAAGAGAAATGTCATCATGAGTTTTGACAATAAATTACCTCCTCATCTGCCTTGTTAATTACAATCATATTTTGCATGTGAAACTAAGCGAAAGAAATTAAACAATGAAATTTATTGGATTCGCTTGAACGGAGAGGAACGAGAGGAACAAAAAGAAGAAAAGCAAACGTGAAAATGAACAAAAGATTGTTTGCCGACTCATAAAAAAAACTTAAATGAGCACTTAAAAATCCACAGTTGTGTGGACATTAGTAAATTAATACAGTTGGCCCATTGAGCACCGAGTTGAGGACGATACTCATGCATCATGAAATTTATGACACTTTCAAGTTTGTTCCGAGTGAGAAAATTTTCTTTTAATTGTAATTTATTTGCATATGTTAGAGACAGAACTTTTTTTTCATTATTTCTGTATTCATTTCATAATAATTTTCAGCTGTGAAGCACGTAAATACACACGCGAGACATGATTTACCGACGAGTTTACATATAGAGCACATTGCGAAAATAAAATAAAAGTTACTTGATTTTCGTTGTTTTCATAGTAAATAAGCACAAGCCACACGGGCTTATAGGAGCATGAGATAGAGTCGAGAAATAAAATAATAACAATTTACTTCACATGCTGCTCCGCCCAAATTCAGTTCTAGATGACGTTTATGTCGTCATGATAAAATTAATTACACTTTAATTCGAGGCAAACTCAAGTGACTTGTGAGATGTATGGATGGTACACAAGAACAATAATCATGAATATGGAATAAAAATTAAAAAAAAATGGCAAGCAGAAAACACACACAAAAAAATGCTTTTAATTCTTGAATTTATTATCACATCAGTAGTTGGGAATTTTCATACAGTGGTGGTGATGGTAGGGAAATAGAACAAGAAATAAAAGTTTTCATCTGCATTTGTACATACTTATGTACATAGATATTTATGTTCTTGCATTCAGGAAGCTCATGGTTAGCATTTTTCATTTCACATGAATTTTTTTTATATTTTTTTTTTATTTTTTTTTTGTGCTGTTCCAAGGCAAAGTCAATTGTTTGAAAAACTTTTTTTGTGACACTAGTGAAAGGGTTCGGGATGGATAGGTGTCTGGAAAGCTGGGTTTAATTGTTTAAGGATAAACTATCGATTTTAGACTGAGTAGGTTCAACTGATGATTAAGAGGCATTTAAAGTAGCTTTCTAGGTAGCTACTAGCATTTTTTGTTAACCATAAGAGATTTACTATGTCCAAGAGGTTTCTCAAAAACCTTAGAGGTTGTATCCTAAA